ACACGTGCTCTCTCTATCGCGCGCACTGCACATGACCTGCAGGGTGGTTCTCTCCCTCTCTCTCTCCACCCTCCTTCCTGACCTCCTCCTTCTTCCCCCTCCCCTCCTCCGTCACACGTGCTCTCTCTATCGCGCGCACTGCACATGACCTGCAGGGTGGTTCTCTCCCTCCCTCTCTCCACCCTCCTTCCTGACCTTCTCCTTCTTCCCCCTCCCCTCCTCCGTCACACGTGCTCTCTCGCTCTCTCGCGCACACTGCACATGACCTGCACTTTGCACCCCGTAGATCCCTACATCAAACTCGAGCTCTTCATGGGCAGCAAGCGGATGAAGAAGAAGAAGTCGACGATTAAGAAACGCACGCTGAACCCTTACTACAACGAGTCGTTCTCGTTCGAAGTGCCCTTTGAGAACATACAGGTAGATAGAGATAGATCGGATGGCATCGTAGTTGGCGCCACTTGTCAACCCTCCCCTCTGCCGCGCGCGACACGACCGACCGCCGCGCTCTCGCACGCCATCTGCAGTCTTGAGTCCTCGACCGGCGGCCACCAGGGGTCGCCGCTGACGGTCGGCCGCCGAATGGGCGAGCACGCGTCGTTGACCACGACTGTCACGGTGACGATCGTCAGGGTGACGGTCGTCACGGTGACGATCGTCACGGTGATGGTTGTCATGGTGACGGTCGTCACCGTGACGGACTCGCTGCTGTCGACACGATGCGTTTCTGTGCAGGCGCCGCCGGTACATCTGAATTATGTATCGGCGCGGGAGAATATCACTCGCGCGTCTCTCGCGGGTTTGCGCTAATGCACTAGACAGCAGGTGGCGTGTAAGAGAGAAGGTGAGTCTGTATCGCGCACGCGCCTGTGTGCATGCTCGCCGTTTGCATGCTCGCATGTGTGTTATTTACTGTAGGCATGCTCTCTGTCTATTCCTCTCTCTCTCTCTCTCCGTCTTTCTCTCTTTCTCTCCCCGATTTCTGCATGCTGATTACATGTAGTGCTCGTGATATTTTGGCTCGTCTGCGGCTACGTACGGAGCCAGGACATGTCTTCTACGACAATCAGGACATGTCTTCTACGACAATCAGGACATGTCTTCTACGACAATCAGGACATGTCTTCTAGGACAGCAAGAAGAGGAGGAGGTGGTACACCTCTGTTGTTACCGCCACCAGAGGGAGCTACAGTCAGCCGCCGGAGTCCACGACATCATCCTAATTTACTGCCGAAGATTGGCTTAACTGTTCCCGTGGTTATGGAGGGAACGGCGATTAGTGATTCCGATGGAAGGCAGCGCGAGAGCGACATGTCTTGGCAGCATCTCTCGATTGATCGGGAAGCCAGTACTGGTGGTTGCGTGCCGGGTACTCTCTCTCCCGTTCTCTGTCGCTCGCTGACTAACCTCTGGCCCATCGTTGTGTCTGTCACTGTCGGCTGTACATGTACTCATCACTAAGGCCTAAAAAAAATGACGTTTGTTTCCGCAAACCCAACCGAGTCCATTTTACACCGCCGAGGCAATTTTTTTTCTGATCGGCCAAAAAAATAAAAAATAAAAAAATAAAACCCAAATTTTTTTTTTTTAATTACAAATCCCAACGTGATATCGATCGGTGAATGCATTGATTTGACTTTGAAGTCATTATATGGGCTGCTATAAGTATAAAACAAGTATTTGTATACAAGTATAAGTTAGAATACCCCCAAAAAAATGTACAAAAAAAACTTTTGCCTGCCCTACCATGTCCAATTTTTTTCAGCTCGATAGCGGAAACAAACATCTTATTTTTAGGCCTAACCGTGTGTGTGTGCTATCTCCGGCTCAGCTGTCGTTGCATGTGTTTCTCCTTCTCAGATCCCTATGTTAAGATTGCCTTGATGCAGAACGGCAAGCGGTTGAAGAAGAAGAAGACGACTATAAAGAAATGCACGCTAAACCCGTACTATAACGAGTCGTTCTCGTTCGAGGTGGCCTTTGAGCAAATACAGGTAAGAAGGAGGAGGATGGGACGCGCGGTTCGCTAGAAACGTGAAAAGCACTCAGTCTAGGCCCGATCAGTGTGTGCCGAGATGGAAGGTGTGTTGTAGAGAGAGAGAGAGAAGAGAGAGAGAGAGAGAAGAGAGAGAGAGAGAGAAGAGAGAGAGAGAGAGAAACGAGAGGAGAGATGACAACAATAATGAACGGTCGGTCGGATCCATATCTGTCAACAGGCGTGGCGCAAACCGGTTCACTACGCGCCACACTGAAGTAGCTGCGTACTCCGAGAAAGCGCCTGCTGAGAATATTATATCGCACTTAGAATTAAGCATTTATAGCATAGAAGCTTTGCGATGAATATATTATATATACACGAAATATCGAAACAGATCAACGAATGAAGACATGGCCAGAAATGATCTGATCTAAGAGATATGACGGCAGAGCTAGGCACGCTCGTCTGCACGCCACTAAGTATCAAAACGAAAATTACTGGTTACCAAAACTTCTTCTGCATCTCAATTAGAGGTTAGTAATTAGAGGTTAGTAATTACAGACAAGAGTATGGAGGCTACAAAACAAATGCAACCTGGACCGATCGGAACTGCATACCAGCTTTCGTGGCCATGTTGACCTTCATCGAGAAACGCTGAGAGCAAAGGAGAAGACAAGAGCGGGAGAAGGAACGCTGTGCGAACGATAATAATCTGAGAGAGAGGCGTGCGGACGTATCGTCGAAACATCCTGCGTTGGCTCGTGGTATTTTAGACACCGTTATGATGACATATTATAGAGAGAAGCCTCGCCCGTCAAGAGATAGACGCAGAAACACAATGAAAAGTGCAGTAATCAGATAGCGCAAAAGCTCGAGAGAGAGAGACGAGAGAGAGAGGAGAAGAGATGACGAGAGAGAGCAGAGAAGAGAGAGAGACGAAGAGAAGAGTGAGAGAGCAGAGAGAGAGAGAGAAGAGAGAGAGAGAGGAGAAAGAGACAGAGAGAGAGGAGAGAAGGATAGAGAGAGAGGCAGAGAGAAGAGGAGAGAGAAGGAGGAGAGAAGAGAGAGAGAGAGAGAGAAGCAGAGAGAGAGAAGAGAAGAGACAGAGAGAGAGAGAGAGAGAGAGAGAGAGACAGAAGAGAGAGAGAGAGAGAGAGAGAGAGAGAGAGATGAGAGAGAGAGAGCAGAGAGAGAGAGAGAGAGAGAGAGAGAGAGACGAAGAGAGAGAGAGAGAAGAGAGAGAGAAAGAGGAGAGCAGAGAGAGAGAGAGAGAGAGAGAGAGAGAGAGAAGAAGAGAGAGAGAGAGAGACGAGAGAGATGAGAGAGAGAGAGAGAGAGAGAGAGAGGAGAGAGAAAAGAGAGAGAGATAAGAGAGAGAGAAGAAGAGAGAGGAGAGAGAGAGAGAGAGAGAGAGAATGAGAGAGAGAGAGAGATAAGACGAGCAGAGAGAGAGAAGAGAGAGCGAGAGGAGAGAGAGAGAGAAGAGAGAGAGAGAGACGAGAGAGATGAGAGCAGAGAGAGAGAGAGAGAGAGAGAGAGGATGGAGAGAGAGAGAGAGGAGAGAGACTGTAGAGAAAGAGGAGAAGAGAGAGAGAAAGGCAGAGCAGAGAGAGGAGAGAGAGAGAGAGAGAAAGAGAGAGGGAGAAGGGAGAGGAAGAGCGGGAAGGGCACATGAGGAGAAGAGAAGAGCATGGAGAGGGAGCCAGGAGAGGGACAGAGGGAGAGGGAGAGGGAGAGGGGAGAGGGGCAGAGGAGCTGGAGGTGAGGAGCGAGAAGAGGAGAAGAGCAGCGAGACCGAGCAGAAAAAGCGAGCGAAGAGAGAGGAGAGAGTAAGAAGAGGCAGAGAGAGTAGACGGGGAGAGCCGCACGAGATAGTTAGTGAGATAGGATAGAAAGTAGAAAAAAGAGCCGCGCAGAGAGAGAGAGAACGGAGAGAGAAGAAGAGATAAATGAGAAGAAGAGAGTGAGGGAGAGATGAGAGAGAGACAAGTAGGAAAATTTGCCAAGACCAAATAAGCTGTAATGCAGCATCTTGGATACTAGCACGAAGAGAACCTGATAATCGGATTAAATGTGCGCAAATTATAACGATGTTATCAAACAAAAGAGACAATGAATCAGTTTAATTTAATGTACATACAGAAGACGCACGGATTTTTCCACTGAGACGGAGTGTAGGACACGTCACACACAAAACACAACATGGGATATAATCATCGATAGGATTATGGAAAATGAAAAACGACAAGAAGAGCGATAAAGAATGAGTTAAGAATTAGACGTTGCATATACA